CACCAAGCCATGTTTAAATTTTATACAGCCATGCTTAACCTAAAATCCTTAACTTTAGTGGACAAAGTGTGCTTCTCATCTCACGGGCGACAACCAAGTTGTCACGCTAACCTACACCTTATTAAAGTTTTAAGTCCAATTACCTTATCAGCATTGGATATAAATTTATAACTACAATTATCATATTTACAACATAACATGAGGATTGACAACATAAGATACAATTATTCCATTTAGTTTTATTTATAGGATAAAGAGAGAAGATTTATTTGTCATATTTATAAGTCACCTTATTAAATTTTTATTATAAATTTTTTTATTTGATCTCCATTGAATGATGAAGAGAGAAAATACATTGTTAAAGTATGTATATTTAATAGAAATAAAGTTGAGAAATTATTAAATTTCTAAACAAAATTAGTGAGCTTTAAAGTTATCATTGATTATTGTGAAACATGTTAAAATATCTCATAAATAGAATTAAAAAAGTATTCTTGATAGGACAACTTTAATATTATTAATGTGCAAAAATTTCACCCATTCCCCATGCTGTGAACCCATGTCAATCTAGATGAACATAATTAACAAGTGCTGTATGGTTTTTGTTAATATATTCAAGTTATCAACGTTCAAACAAGTCATTGTCATGGCAAGAAAAATTTCAAGTCATAACCAAAATCGTTCTGCATTTCTATGAACTATTTTGCATTTTTATATCAGAACTTGATACCAGTGATCTACCAAAAAAATTAACAAGAGTAACAATTTGACAAGTAATATATCATAATTAATAAGTTTGACTGAGAATAAATTTAAATTAGTAATAACAATTATTAAGGCAATAACAACCTTACACCGCTAAATTTACAAATAGATTTACATAATTGACAACTAATTTCACGTTGTTCATAAACCATGGCAATCATCAGTATGAGACAAATCTTCACGGATCTGTCACTGAACGTGAAGTTGATTACTCATTCCTCACCTGATAGAAAATTAAAAGGACACTATGACATGCCAATTGAAGACTAATTTCTCACCTGACTCAATAGGCTAATCGACCTTCATAAGCCATAGTTTTGGTTGCTCGATTTATGCACTACTACAATGCGTTGAAGTGAGACAGACTTTAAGCCACAAGTCACAATATCAATAGGCCACCCAACCCAGAAATTAAATGCAAGTCCTTCTCTTTTTGATCGAGCATATCGGTTGCATCATCGGTGACATAATTAAAGGTTAATCAATAACTTCACTCATAGGACCTCGTCAGCATCATCAAAGTGAAATCATTATGTGACTTATCAAAAATGATGTTTAACGACAAGAGGGGACTCGTGCACATGAATTTGGCTCTGGCATCGGTAGTCCAAGTCGATTTTTGCACACGCTCTCTCTTTATTTTATTCAAAGGGTATTTTGGTTAATTGCCTTGTAAACTTATTTTCATTTCAGTTTCACTTGCCCGTAATGTGTTTTAAGATTTGTTCAGTCCTGATTTTTTTATTAGTTCTCTACATGGGTCGTATAACAAAATTCTCCTTATAAATTATGGACTTGGCTTCCTTCATCTAAGGCCTCCCCTAAATCGAAGTAAATTTGGACTATCCAAATTTACTTAGATAGTTCATATTTAATTTTTTATATGTATTTGTATTTTATTTTATTTAAATAAAAATTTATAAATCATAAAAATGTTTGATAAATCTGTTCACTGGTCTCAAAAACCAGATTTAATATATATCATTCAGATATAATATTAAAATTTTATAATTTTTATGAATTGATTATCGATATTTACTCTTGGACCGTATAGTTTTAATATTAAAATATTTTAGTATTAAGTTTGTACTACTCATACTAAATCTAGATTGTAATGGTAAATAGATTTTTTAAATTCTTTATAATTTATATAATTTTTATTTTAATAAAATAAAATAAAAATAAAAATATTAAATATAGAACATCTAAATAAATCTAAATAGTATAGATTTATCCTCAACTATAGTTAAGGCTTTTGAAGGAAGAGGGAAGCCAAGTTCTTTAAATTATAGGGAAAATTATAATAGAGGACCTGCGAAAAACATTCATTGCAAATAAAGATCAAACAATTCTAAAATTATTTTGCAGGATCAAAAAACTTAAATGTAATTTAAATTTATTGTGAAGAGACAAAATCACTATTCACACACACACTTTGTTTTGACAACAAGTCCCTGTTCAGAAAACAAACAAATCTCATTTTTATTCTAACAATAATTACTTATCTCATTAATAACTCTAGAAAATTAATTTGGTAATAAAGATGAACAAGTATTATGATTTGGTAAATAAGTTTACATTCATGAAAAAATAAGTTCTATTTTTATTTTAATAATAATTAATTCTTTCATTAACAACTCTAAAATATTAATTTGATAGTAGAAAGAAAGTGTTGTGATCTGATAAACAAGTTCTCGTTTTAAAACAATAAGTATTATTTTTATTTTAATAAAAATTAATTCCCCTATCACAACAAATATTTGTGTGTGAGAGGAATAGTCTTGTCTTTTCACAATAAATTTTAATTACATTTATGTCTATTAATCTTGCAAAAATAAATTAGTATTATTTGTTCATGCAAAGCAATTAATATTATTTTGTGGTCCTTAGTTTTGATTTTTCCTAAATTATATTCTCTTATTTAAAAATTGTTAGGCATTTTTAATCAAGTTTTATTCATAATAAAGTAGTTAATTATCTCCAAATTAATGCTATTTTTTGCATTTACCTAATTTATTTAACAGACTATTTCACTTTAAAATAAATGTAGAGTTATTTTATGTTAAAACCTATAAAATGATTTATTTATTATGAGCATTTTTAAAAAATATAATGGTTATACTTTGAAACACTAAAAATACCTTACTTTTTTAACATTTACTTTCTTAAAAAATATTTTACATTTTTAAACAGATGGAGTAAGTAACTAGAATAATTATACGTAAATCATAAAATATGATTTTTTTTTACAATTTAACAACCATAAAAATTTATAAAAATTATTTTTTTCAAATTTTTAAAAAATTATTTATAAATATTAATTCGAAAAATTGTACATGAGCATTTGAGTGTAGAATAAGGATTGTAGTTAAATCGTAAAAGATTGATTTGCTATTGAAATTCACAATCTTAAACCTTCTCAGCTTTTATTTTTGATTAATTTTATAAACAATTTATCAAAATCGAACCATAATTAAATTGATATTCGTATTATATTATGTAAGAGCATTTTTTTAAATACTTGACCCTTCCATTGAGCACCTCCACAGTGTATACAAAGATTCCATTTAAATTTTAGGTCTTATCGATTACATTTTTAAAGTAGGTTACCATTCCCACACCTCCCGGGGGGTTTGACCCCATTCTCATTCCTTCAAAATCTTTCCTCCTCTAGCGAGATCACGCCTTCTAAGTTTTAGCTTGAAAGTTTAGAAAAATAAAGGTTGGATTAATTGATTTGCTTGTCATACTTATCATAAAAATTTAACACTACAATTTTATACGATCCACAATTCTAAGATGCAGACATTTTTTTTAACTTTACTTGGATTTCTATGTGTGCTTCCAACATTGAAAATATAGGTTAAGTTATATAAGCTGATCTGAATAACTAATTATATGGGTTAGGTTGGATTAAAAAAAATTAATCCAAATAAAGATCATTTTTTCTCACTCGTATTATATAACTTATGAATTATATGAGTTAATCCAGATGGATTAGAATTAGTAAATTTAACCTATATATTATTTTTTTAAAAATAACAAGGAAAAAGGGGGGAAATTTTGTGGGTACTAACCATATGAAGTATAACATATTTAGTCACATCAATTCATATATTTTATACAATTATTATAAATTAATATTTTGATGTATTTAAAATAAATCATAAATGAATATCTAATTGAAACTCATCATTTAGGTATACTTTTTAAAATTAATGAAAAAAATAAATTGAAAAAAAAAGAGTTTATGAGTTAATCCATTTAGCCCACTATCTCTCAAGAATTGAATTGGGATGGAGTTTTTTAAATTTATATAAAAATAAATTAAACATAACCCAACCTATATTTCTCCAAGCACTTGTGAGCCAATCCGTATGATTGGGGTTGATTCAAATTCTCAACGCTGGGTGCTTCTATGAATCAGCAGGCTTAAAGCCGAAGAAAAAGAATTACAAGGAAGATGCAAGGATAAAATAGTAAATACAACGTTTTGTTGAGTTAGAGTAAAAAGTATACAATTGTTTTTTTTTTTCCTAACATAAAAGTAGAAGACAAGAAACACAAAAATGGATGGATAATAGATTCGGTTTCAGTGCTCAGCTGAGGAGCACTGTGATGCTCATCATCCAAGAAAATCTGAAGATTCAAATTTTTTTAATTTTAATTTTATATTTTATTAAAAAAATTGAATATATTTATCATCAATTTAAATAGTATTAATTTAATATGAGACTTTAAATAGTTCAATTTAATATTATAATTTTTATAAGATAATTATCTAGATATACTCTAAACAAAACAAATTTAATATTAAATTTTTTAATAATTTTTTATTTTAATAAATATAAAATAAAAATAAAATAAAAAATTTAAATATAAATTTTGCAGATAAAAATTTAATATTAAATTTAGACTGTCTAAAATATATCTAGATATTTAATTTATAAAAATTATATAATTAAATTAAATTATTTAAATTAAATCAGTACTATTTAAATTGATAATGAATATATTTATAAAATAAATTTATAAATTTTATTTTTTAAAAATATAAAATTAAAATTGAAATTTAAAAAATCTGGATGGCTCGAATTTTTTGGATGATGAGTACCTGCTGAGGACCGAAACCGGATCCGATGGATAAAACTTGGACAGTCTGGCAAGCGTATTCCGTATCGTGTCAAGTCCAATCGTTTTAAAACTTGCCACGGTGGATTCATGGATTGGACAGAGAAGGAGAGAAGTTCAAATCCTGGCATTGACTTCGCCAGTGATCTACAATCTGTGCTTTCTTCCCTATTATCTCTTCCTATCTGTTACCTTCGTGGGTCATGGCTTCTTCAACAACGGCTTCGCGTCTGATCGCCGTGCTCCTAGGGTTTCTCGCACTCACCATGTCCACCACCGCGAGGCCCTGCAGAACCTTCTTCATCTCCTCCTACTCCTTCTCCTTTAGGCCCCAGTCCTCCGCCGCAACCCTCACTGCCTTCGAAGAGTTCAGATCCCTTGTCCCCCACGACGTCGCTGGCAATAACGACAATAACTATGACAATCTTTCTTATCCTGCCGAGATCTTCTTTGACGGCGTCCTCACTGGCTATCCCCTTGAGGAGGAGGAGCATGAGGCTGAAATTGAGCTACGGGCGTCGCAGATACGAGCCCCATTTGGATTCTTGTCCCATAATTTCAGCTCGTTCCGTGATCGAACTCAGGACATTATGAGCGTTGTTCTGGCGCTACTCTTCGGCGCCGCAGGTGGGGCTCTCACGGCTGTTGGTTTGTACTTAATATGGTCTGTGTTATCTGACCGCTATGATTATGGCGATTCTTACGATGATTATGTCGATCAAGAGAAAGAAATCGATAGCCCTAGGAAAACGGGGTTCATGAAGATTCCGGCGTTTGAATCTGCGCCTGCACCAGCCCAGGAATCGGTATGAATTGAGGATAACAGTCATGTGCTTTGGTGATTGTAGTTTGTGAACCTAATTATGGGTTCCTTGTAATCGTAGGTGAATTGAAAATGGGCAAACTTTTGGCCTCTATCGGTGTTTTCAATTGCATATTTGCCTCTTTTGTTTGACACCAGCTCGATATGTATTACTAACTTGTGCTTCTTTCTTTCTTTATATCCATATGCGCGCGCACACACACATGCGAGTTTACTGATGATAATTGAAGTCGAAACTAGATGGATACTAGTGTTGTCATATATTTTCTGTTCCCTAATAAGATCCTGGAAACTCGGATATTCCTTTATCTTCATATCTGCTTTTGGTTCTTCTGTCCCCTTTTCATGCTGGACCCCAAGGAAAGGTCCACCAGAGGAACTTCTCATATGCATTGCTGCTTTAGAATTATTAAACTTGTCGTTGAACTTTGCTTGTGGACTTTAACAAAGTTTTTTCCTAGAGCTATGAGGGAAGGAACGATATATTCTAGGAACTTCTAAAGACATACTTACTCGCGGTCATTAGCAGCGTTTTCTCTTTGTCAGATATTTTATTTACTATTGCTTGATTTCCTTTGTGATAGAGAGACACTTGCACGTGGTGTGCATTTACAAGTGTGTTTGATTTTTTAATTTATCAAAAGTTCATTTAGCGAAAGTTTATTGAATAAAAGTTAATTCAATAAAAATTAATTGTTGTAATAAAATTTGAGTTTGAGTATATTTTTTTAAAAATTAATTTGATATACTAAAAATTATTTGAATTAAGATAATGAAATATACTTTTAAATATACAATCATTAAAAAAATATTAATTTATGATAATTTATAATTTTTATTATACAAATATAATATAAGATTTATAATTTTTATTATACATTAATGTTAAAAATTAATATGATTAATTATTCAATTGATAATACTAAACACTCAATACCTAATTATTATTATTGAAATGATACTCATATTTTTAATGAATTAAATATTTTTTAAATAAAAAAATAAGAGATTAAATTTGAAATAATATGATTAAATGATATTTATTTTTTAAAAATTTTAAATAATTAAGTTTTTTAAATTTACTTTCAACTACTGTTTAAATATATTTTCAAAATGTGTTTTTCTGTAAAATATTTTAACTAAATAATTTTAAACATCTTAAAAATAAAACTTTATTTTATGAATGTGAAATGTAAGCAAATCAAAAAGGTCTTTAAGAGACACCAATCTGAGTCATATAAGTGATGAAGATGATTATGACCCATTTACATTTCCCATTGATCGTGGCTGTCATAAAACCAGACCTGCATCCGGAAAAATAAAATAACGTTTCTCAGCTTTTACGAAACGGATACAGCATATTAGTTTTCTAGGCGCTCGTGTTGGAAAATCCTATGAGAAAACATTGTAACAAGAATTCAGTGTCGAGTGGATTACGACATGTGAGACTTGCGTTGACAACAGGTAAATTGAAAGGCGAATTTCATTGTCAAGAAAAGAAACATCCACCTTAAGGTAAATGATATGAGATATTTAATAAGATAGACTTCAGAACCTTATACCACTACGGACCATCCACCTTAAGGTAAATGATATGAGATATTTAATAAGATAGACTTCAGAACCTTATACCACCACGGACCTCATGTTTAATCAGACTCGAAATGAGCGCAGTGATTTATTATGTTTATTGGCTCATTGCACGTTATATACTAAGGCACTGTCAAAAAGGCAGTAGTTTCAACAACAGTACAGGCCTAGAGAATAGAGATCGCATCATAATACAAGATAGGCTTATCTAGCTTTGTCTACTGTACATGAGTTCACGCAAGACGTTGATCAAATGCTACAGTAAGCAGAAACACTATCTAGCTTACGGTGCACATGTTGAAGGCACAAAAGGCCATCCTAACTTAACTTTCTTCACCACAGTACTTTTTTTCATCATCAAATCTTAAAAGTATGAATGAAGCCGTAGAATATGGAACAGAACATAAAGAACCATTCTAAACATGCAAGGTGGACAAATAGCGTTCAAACAGAAGCAGTAAATTTCCAAGATTCCTCACGGCCGCACTGGAACCTGAAGCAAATGCATTTATATATATATATATATATATATGAATCAGTATCCAAGCGAGCCCATTGATGGAAAGCCAGAAAGGTCCTGAGATTCTGCGGTGCTGCTGTTCATCCTTTGTCCCACACTCGGACCAAGCGATTCCACCGATTGCTCGCCCATTTTCATAACATCCTCAGGTGAGAGAATCTTGATGTACCATACATTATTGACGAATGATCTGTCACGTGAAGCAGTAAATCCACACCAAAACAATGTCAAAGATCCAAGGATAGAATAGCAGACCATGAGAGGAGAGAAAATAAAAGCTGTAAATTTAGGATAAATTACACCTCCTTCCCTTAAAAAAAGTTCAAATTGCAACATCCTTCTTTTGTTGTGAAAGTCCAGTTTATACAATAATACAATACAGAATATGTTAAAAAATGTTCAAATTGCAATATCGTTCCTTTGTTGTGAAAGTCCAGTTTATACAATAATACAATATAGAATACATACAATTATTTCCTTTGACCAAATATGAAGTCAGTAACTCAAAAAAAAAAAAAAAGGAGAAAATCAAATTTTTTGGCTTCTAACCAAAACTACTAAGCATTGAAATAAAAGTATAGAAATTATGATTTTTGATAAAAGTAACCAATAAATCTTAGGATATTTTCCCCATGTTTTAACTTGAAGGAATCAAGAGGCTTTGTGAACGTTATTATAATAGAAAGAATGTGTGGTGCAAAACGAATGATTTAACCCTAAACTCTAACATGATGTAAATATACTTACTCCCACGGGTCGTCTCCGAGGAGAAGAACATCATTCTCCCTGTCGACGAATACAAGCTGCCAGCCTGATCTAAGAGGGTCTTCTAACTTCCCCTCAATTCCAAACATTTGGGCCAACTCCTCTCTCAGCTCATGATAGCTGCTGAACCGAGAGATATCAAGTGAGCGCCCAACCGAACCTGGTTTGTAGACCTGTGGAGACAGAATATCACAAATAAAGTAAATAGTACAAGGACAAAGATCTGAATCAAACATTTTATATTAAGAATCAAACCTTGACAAATGTCTGAGCATGGTTTTGCGGGTCAACTTGCCCAGAACTCTGAATCAACTCTGCAGAATCTTGCACGCAATTATATAGAGGACCCTGGAATCCAGAGTCCCCTAATGGCATGGTTGATGCGTCAGTACTAACCGAAGAAGCTGAATAACCAGGGACAGTGGTGGGGAGCAGAAGACCAGATGAATCAATATTGACACCAAAGAGTGTAGGATTTTGGCCATCTGAACTACAGTGCGATGGCACCATGGCAGAATCTTTCTCAGTATATTGTGAGTGTGACATTGAGTTGCCAAAGGCAGCAGCACTCACCTGCACAGGTGCATATTTTGGACTCCATGATTGTTGGGGTAATTGTTCAGCTAGCATGGACTGACTGCTTCTGGACAAGTTGAAAAGATTGCTAGTCCCTTCAGGACAGAGTGAACTGAGCATGTTCTGTCCAGGGGAAACTGACGAGAACTTTATGCTTGAATCAAAGAAATCAGGTTTTGAATATGATGGTGAAGGAGCATGGGAGTGTTGCCTCTGCGGGAGCTGCTCACCCTGAATAAAAAACGCTTCATGATAATTAGCCTGTGGTTGCTGCTGCTGCTGGGCTTGGTCTTCGTGATTATTATGTGGTTTTGGAAGGAGATGCTGAGATAGGTTCTCTGACAACGCTTGAGTTTGCGGCTGAAGGATATTAGAAGTCATTGATTGTTGAATTGCTTGATGCTGCTGAAGCTGCAGAGAAGTATGGTTTCCTGATTGTTGAAGATAATGGAAGGGTTGGTGCAAATGCATCATTTGCTGACGCAAGAGATCTCCACTCCCTAGGTTCTGCAAACCAGCTGCCAACATGGCTTGATACTGTTGATTATGGTCATTTCCTAGCAAAGTTGGATCTAGTCTCTGCTGCATCCACGGCAACAGACCACCACCTTGAAAATTGAGGGAGTTGAGCCCTTGATCTCCAGGTCCACCTCTCAGCCACATCAACCCTGCTTCATCTCTTCCATCTATAAAAGGGTCACAGTTCATGGTTAATGGCAAGAAAGAAGACAAGAGATAAACGATGAAGAGAGCCAGCAGCTGGATAACTTGGTTTTCATATATGATCATTTGTTAGCAAACACAAGCACAAGTGAATGTGTTGTGAATTCAGGTGAAACGTTAAAGCCAACTTGAAAAATTGAATGAACTTGAACAAATTTTTTAAATTTTAAGATTGAGTGTAACAAGTACCATGCAAAGATGAAGAGCCAGGATGCCATGGCCGCTTCAATCTGAGAGGGAATAGTGATGGATACATTGGAAATGTTGTCAAAGGCTCAATTTCCCATAACGATACCCGTGGCTGCCTATCTCCTGCTGTTGATTCATCCCAGCCAACCTATGCACAAAGGATGAAAAGGGCAGAAATTACAGACTCCTCAACATACAGGGAAGAGAATTTCTTCAGAATGTCCAAAGTGTTTCAAATCATTACACATTTTAAGGAATGGAACAAAGTTTGTTAACCTGAATCCACTAAAAACCTCTAGCTTTAGAGCAATCCGTTTGGACAATTACATTGGCACAGTTAATCATGATTTATACACGCATCTTTTACTTAAATAACTATGTAGGAAATTATGAAGAACATTAACTCGTACTATTAAATGAAATTGAAAATGAATTTATCAATACACAAATCCACAAAAAAATTACACATTTCGAATATGCTGCAGCATCACCCAGTCACATTGCAAGATACTTAACAATTTTATGAGGGAAATGAAAATGAAAGACAGGAATCTATGAAACAAGATTGAAATAGCTTTAAAAAGGTGCATTCAACTAACATGGACAAAAATTTGACAAGGCAACCTTCTCCATCCACAAAATCCACAGAACATGTACAATGCAGAGGAGAAGAATCATATTTCACAAACGCACAAGATCTTATTCAGAATGCTACCTAGTCTTATGTCATGTTAAGATCTAATTTAATTACCTTGACAGATCGCCAATGAGAATTTGGCCAACGAACAGGATCCAGATCACTTATGCCAGTTATCGTACCCATGTACCTGCAAGAAGGTATTTGTATCAGGTAGCATAGCCACGTGCCAAACTACCCTATTTAATTGTGTTTGCAATGAATCAGCCAAGCAAACTAGCCTATCTAATAACTTGTGTTTGCCAGAAGGTTTTCAAAGACAGAACCTATTTATCAAGAAAATCGCATCCTTATAATAGGCGCAGATGCCAGAACAGCCTTATTCTAGGCAGGATATTGATAACATAAATATAGAAGGCTCTTCTGTAACACAGCCTTATCTACTTATGAGAAATAAAGTGACTGATCTAAAAAGAGTGCCAAGAAATATTAACGGAGGCAAGAAAAATAAAATATCAATAATGCTAAAGAGAATAAATATAAATGGCTACAGATACCTGCGAACACTTGATTCCTCAGTCTCAAAAAGCATCCTGAATCGCATGCCAACTGAAACACGTGTATGGTACACAGCCTTAACATATTTTGAAAGTGGTATGACAAACTCAGAAGGACTAGCCCTGCCCATGATTCAGGTGTCAAAGTAAGTATAATAATTTCACAAAAGTATTACACGTGGAAATAAGTCACCATTCACAACCTTGGATTATAGAACACTGTAAAACAGCTATTAGTTGCAGCAGCATGAGCAGCAGCTGCAAGAAGTCCAATGTGCATACTATCAGTTGAAAGAACTGAAGATGGCATTACAGTTTGGGGCCGACTGGCACGACGTATTCCTAAAAGTAGCTGATTCTTTTCATTCCTAACAATGAGAATATATTTAAAAATATCAATAAACTAGCAACTTCCAGCGTTCGTGGGGCAAAAGGATCAAAAATAAATCAAAAATAAAAGAGGGGAATGTATACCATATAAATAGCACAGAATCTCCAGCCACAAGTCTCTTGGCACTGACGAATACACTCCAGCCTGTTGTAAGAAGGTGTCGTTTTGGCTGTCCTGCAATTATACAAAAGAAACAGGCATATCAGCTTGACTAGGAGATATAAATAAGGCAAGACATGGTCATTTCAACAGGTGAGCAAATGGGTTGCTTCAAGAATTTTCTGTGACTTTTCAGTCAAAATTGAAACACAGATGAACAAAATAAGTTGCAGAGAAACCACCACACCAAGTTCACAGAAATAAGGGGAAAGCATGTAAAAGAAATAAAGCATTATTCCGCAAATGAAAATTACATCAAATTCAAAACTATTTCTTCTTCTCAATATATATTAAAACAGTACAGATCACATTCTGCCAAACATTGGTAGAGGATTAATATATATTTTAAAGAAAAAGGCGTTCCAATAACGTATAAGACCAGTTTATATGAGAAGGAACTTAGCTGACTGACATGTTTCGACAAGTGCTGCTAATGTAGTGTGAAACTGACAATGCTACAGATTATCATACAAAGCTAGACATAACATGCCATGGCAACCAGTTTCGCTCGCCAAACAGAACAGACTGGCATACAATCTTGCACTTGTCTGTCTGCCATGGTATATATGAGGGACGAAATAAAGAAAACAATACTACAGGGAACTAAATTTAAAGATTCTCTATATACAAGACCAGACTAGAACATAATACTCTGAAGGACTACATTATGAAACACTTTATTGGCAAAGGACCAAAATATATTTTCGTCATCACATTAGTTAATTGCACAAACAATAGATTAACATTAAGAAAATATTAACAAAATGCTTTTATTGGTGAAGAACCAAACCAAGAAAAACACGTGTAAAAAATCAAATTGAGAAGACAATTCTATAATGGAACAACTTGAGAAATACTCAATTCTATGAGAGATCAAATAGAGAAGATAATATATACTCACTTGTTAAAAAAATGTAAGACATTTTTAACTAAATCTCACCCTCCAATAAAATTATTACCCACTTTCAAACTAATCCTATCTTTTCATATTTACCCCTATTAAGCACCCTATAATAAATAAAAAGTCATTCATCAATAAGGCCACTTTTGGGAAAAAAAAATACAAGGGATAAACCTTAATTCGCACAAAAATATTTGATACAAAACCATAATATAGTTATCTTCTCCAACAGGTTTACATGTTCACAAAGAAACAAATATAGCTTTATAGCTTATCTTAGTACCAACTGTTTCCAATTATAATTAATTAGAACTTAAGATAGCACTCAAATTATCATTAGAGAAACAGTTCTGTAATGATTCTGGAACATGTAAAATGAGTCGTCGTTGGCATGCATTTCATGAAAGATTCTAGAAACAGTCATAACTACTAAGCCCCCTACAAAATATTCATGAAAAACAGGCATAGGCTTCTCAGAAATTGGCTCAGATACTGACAATGAAGATTTACCTGGGGAGGTGAACTTATTCAGTAAGAAACCTCTTTCTTATACTTCTACCCCTTGGTAAAACACCCTATCCATCTCAATCAGTCGAAATAACCTCCACTCTCCTTACAAAGAGATCCAGGCATTGGTTTAAGTATGTTTGCTCAACAGCATCAGAAAAGGGTGATCGAGTTAGAAAAAAGTGTGGTACATAAGATGATAGGGCAAAGCGACCATTGTACAACAAGCTTTAGTTAGCTTAACACATATAACTTCCCTCCTAGCAAAACACATAACCTTAACACACAAATGTTCTTTGAGCTCTAGATTCTAGCAGATAATAATCTTTGGATGATACTCGGTCGTTGGAATCAAAAGCACCAAGGTGGAACATTCAAACAGGAGCTATAAATACCAGACTTTACAATCAAATGATTATCTTCAGTACATTGAAAATTTATAAAATACAATATATATATATATATATATATTATCAGAATAATGCAAATAAAGAACCAGAACCTTACCGCGAAAAATATGTCGGAACTTCCACTCAACATCATGGAGGTCCCTAGCAATTAGTTCCTGTGCAGGTGGTTGCTGTGAGAAATCCTGTACAGCCAAAACAGAATAGAAATGAATCTACATCCAATAACAGTCAAACAGAAAAGCAAGATATTGACACTACCAGTGGAGGGAACACTTTCTCAGCCGCACGACGAGGAACAGAAAACCCTCCATGTGTGCTGGTGTCACTTGCCGTTAATGTCTTGCAAAAATAATTTGAGGGCTGTTTGCTTGGAATGCCCAATTCCAAAGGAAGAAATGTTTCCTTCTGCTCTTGCTACACGCCAAATTAATAATACCCAAGTTCAACCCCAAAAAATGAAAGAGAACACGTTCAATATGATTAAAATCAAGCTAGCAACATGGTACCGGAGTCAATGGCTGTAGTGTCATTTGAGCATAAACTTCATCTGTTTCGACATCAGCCTGAAAAACACAGGATCCTCTGGTTAATTTTGGAATTCTAGTTCACTCTTATGCTTCAAAGATAACCCAAGTACTCAGCCATTATATTTACATGGGAATTATAATAATACCCACATGCATTGTGACATTATGAAGTTGGCAAATTAACTGCGGCTGCAAGCTCGGGTAATTGGGTATGTGCCCATCAAGTTCTCTGTTAGTCGTGGCTGCAACCTACAATCATTAGTCATGACAAGTTCAGTTCTATTTCAACTCGTAAAATTGTCCACTAGCGGTTACCAAGAACTGCTACTGAACCAAAATAAGCAAGAAAATTTCTGAATCTTAGCCTAGTATGCAAATAAGATAACATTGAAGGATCTAGAGTAGAGTAGGGAGTACTAAAAAGCACCTGCTCGCTATGACCCTGAGGGAAGTAAACCACACGAGTCCCTGCATTTGGTAGGGACACAAGAGGACCCGCGCATGCATGCCATAGCTCGGAATTCAGACACTTCTTCTCCCCTCCTCCTCCTACCATCATTCCAGCACAACAAATTATCATAAAAGGGAAAGAAAATAGGTACTAGGATGTTCAAGGGACACAAAAGGGTTGAAAGGGACACATTATTTTTGTGCATGTAGACACAATTAAGAGTTTTCAATGGGAGGCTAAAATATAAAAAAGCAAAAGAAAGAAATAGAGTGGATACCTTCTTGTCCCTGCTGACCCAACCCTGATGTTGAAAGCTTCATATCAAGCTTCACTTTTCTTTTCTTTTCTTTTAAAGATACAGAATCTTGTGATCTTGTAATCACATAAACAATACATGAAACCCTAGCTCACAGCCGCCTTGTTGAATTTGTTTCAAGCCATTGCATTCCCCTCCATCTTCCTCCAACTTGCCAATGCACTCCATACCCACAAGTGAAGTGAGAGAAACCTTACGAATCAGACGAAGCCAAAATCCAGAAATTCCTCAAAGTACAGCATCTCAAAATTCAGAACTGGCCACTGCTGGAAGATTGAGGAAGCCAAAATTAAACTAAAGATAAGACGAGTAGCGAGGAGCAGAGCTGCTTTTCAGCAATTTCAGGCAAACCCATGACCCAGAACCCAAACCCAAATCGAGTTAACTAAAAGCAGGGCCCGTTATCCGAGATCGCCATGAAATGAGCAGTACCAGAGCAGTAGAAAGGAAGCAAGAATGAAGAAACACAAGTGACTGTTGAACTAAAGGTGCTCTTCGTGGCCTATCACTTTCGATTGAGAGAGACCCAGTGAAGATTTTTGGCTTTGAAACGCACAGTGATGAGAGAGAGAGAGATGGACGAAGCAAATAAAGTAAGAACCTTTGCCTCTTATAAGGGGGTACCGACCAAAGCTGTACCTGTGTGCAGTAGAGAGAGAAAGAGAAGGAGCGTCTCTGTAAGAGTCATGGAAAGAGCCAATCTCAGCCATTGGATTATCCGTACTCGAAAATCTGGATGGTACATTATACACTGATGTGACAGCAGGCATGTGCCACCATCCTTTAGTGGTCATTGTCAGAGTACGGATTATTAAGTGAAAAATATTACCATAAAAAATTATAAGTATTAATTAAAATGAACAAATAATATAAAATATCTGTAATGGAAAGCGAGGGAGAGGAGAGAGAGGGAGCGCGTGCTCTGCAAATGGATGACGAGAGACTGTGTTTGAGGCGTAATAAGTAACGAGAAAAAGTTAAAAGCAAATAGTTACTCATTGATGGTAATGAGTGAATACTCTCTCCCATTTGCATCGAAACATTAAAAAATTTGAGGAGATTGCTCATTTTTTTAACAGATCATTCCCCTCTCCATATAAAAATCCATTAAAGATTTAAACTTTAATCTCAATCATTGTCGTTATGCTACTGTTATTTTAAGGAGCTGTTATAGTCAATGTCCCATTTCTTTTGAAGGATAAAGCGGCACTTTATTTAACCAGATATTTAATTCGGCTTCTTATTTTTCACAAAAAGTTAAAGGAACAGAACATTTTCGAAGTCCTGATGCAGTCATTCTGAGTGACGACATTGAATGCGTTGCAGTTAAACATAGCTCCGTATTAAGTTTATTCTGCCCAAAATATTTATTGTTCATTCTATACATAAACGGCAAGTTTGGAATTTTTGCAAACGGTGAAATGTTGGTGCAGATGAGGACGACCATGCTTATCCTATTGGATTATAATAATTTTGTAACCTTAAAATGAGCATGAAGTTTTCACCATTACAAACTGAATGATGAGAGGAGCAATAATGAAAATGAAAAAACAAGAAAAGGTACTTGTTAAAACATTAGGGTTTGCAGGAGTAATTTAATTCAAACAAAACAAAGAAACACAGATGAGGAAAAAAGTCAAAATAAAGATTGAGGATCACATGCATGTTTGTTTCTGTAGATCGCTCATCCCAAACACATCTTCCACCTGTGTCATTAAAGCCAAGCAGATAATAATTGAGTAATGCTTGATGCAGATGATTAAGGAAACAAGATATATTTGTTTGTCTTAAACCTCTTTTCAGGTGTGCGCATAAACAGAAGCCCAGATGTTAAAATTTACGATGCTGCAATTTGGTAACAAGACAAGACTGTCGTGTCTGTGCGAGACAAGAATGTATACTGATCCTTGATTAATCATTAATAAATTTTTCAGGTGCTGTGATGCTGGGATTTTATCTTACTTTGCTTATAAACACACCAATTATCATTTTTTGGGTTGTTGTGAAGTGTTTGTCAGCCTAAATTATAGCTTCGATTTGGACTATCTATCGTACTTAGAGACGTGCAATGAAGCAATTCTTCGGTCCTCAGGGCTTAGAGAGCATGACTCTGGAAACAAACGAAGAGTGAATGTTAATTCTGAATTAAACCAAGTCATTAGTATCAATTCGGTCTGATAACCCTTATTTTCGTTACACCTTTCCATAAGACTATTCGAAGAAAATAAATAAAAAATTCTTCTCACCTAATATACACAGTAACCCTGTCACAGACAGTGAAACATTATTTATGACCCTTTTCTACAAAAATATATTTTTACGAATTCACTCTACAATTACCCCTCTCTCTTGTAATGTTTTAATTAATGTGGCTAATAACACTCGTGCAGTCCAATTCACAAGACAGGGAGATAATATTTATTTTGTTCATGTTTATATGGAATCTCAATTTGTATTGTTTCCATTACCATACCATTTTGCCTCATTAATTAAATGCTGAAAATGATATTAAATATTAGAATATTTTATAAAAATGTATATTTAATAAAGGTAAAGTTGATTTTTTTTTTAATTTTTAAACATGGCTAATAAGGTTTAGAATATTGCTCAATTCTGGTGAGAATGCGATAAGCAACTTATGAATGGAATCCTCTGGATAGCTAATACGTTCCGGAATAAGAAGATAATAATTTTTTACGTGGAATGAGAGAATTTTATAAATGATCGATACACTGTAATTAATTTTTGAAGAAAATTCAACGAAATGAATGGAAGGGCAATTTTGAAATTAGGTTATTAGCTTACATTACTCCACATGAAATTTGAAATGAATCATACACTTTTAAATAATAAGATTTCTATAAATTTTACATCGTACATAGACATTGCTGACATTGCATAAATGTTAATGTATGATAACATTAGATGCTCTTTTTTCAAATAATAAAGACCTAAATGAAGTGCTTAACTGCTTATATTTCCAGCTACCAGCAAGGTTAGGGGATATCCGAATAATAAAAGACAAGGAAAATTATATTCTAGTCCCCATAGAAGGAAGTATATTATCAAAAAGTCTCATAAATTTTACAAAATAGTCTCAAATTTTAAATTCTATACATTAACAAATTGACTGAAACATTGATAATTAGGCAATGGTAATTTATAACTTGCCTTTACAAGTTATAAACAGTTGTTGTTCAGTTGTCAATACTCTTAATCAAATTGTTAATATACAATATTTTAGATTTAAGAATATTTTGTAAAATTTATGAGACTTTTCGGTGATAAATTTTTTTTCTATAAAACCTAAATATATTTTTTTCCTAAAAAATATAGGATAATTCAGTCCCGTGATTTTTCATAGTACATGAAATTTGAGATGAAGTTGTTGTAATTACGATTCCATATTTTATATTTTATATTGACACTATAAATTTACTTGTGATGCATGTGAAACAGCATATAGGGATGTGGTTCGGAACTCGTAGCAAGTGCCAAGTACCAATGGCCATCTTCTTGTGAACGTTTGCGCGGGTTTTGTATAAATATTTTAATTTTTTTTACCCTGATGTTGTATCATTACTCCCATTCCAAATAATCTTTGAATCAGTTAGGTCCCCCTTGATAACTATAAATGATTGAAATGAAATAGATTGCAAAGATAAAGTTAAAAAAATGATAAAAAATAGGTGAATTATATTTATAAAAGATGAGGGGTAATTATTTCATGGAGTTATGAATATGATTTATAATATTTTAAAAAAACATGATGATGTCCACGTTTATAATATATATTAATAAATTTTAGTATGTTTATCAGAAAATAAAAGAGTGATTTAATTATTTTTTTTAATTTTTTTAATCCATTATTTCATTTCATTTTTTTAATAACCAAACAAAATCTTAGTAAATTGGTAACATAAAGTCGAGATTAGTAATTTGAACCTGCGATTAAAGTGGGCTTATTTAATCTATTCGGCCTACCTAACTCCTACTAAAATGAGCTGCCAATTAACTTGCTTACTTGCACGTCAGGTTTTATTGAATATATATATATATATATATAAATCTTTATGCTTGAGTCAGAATCAAAAAATACATGGCCTATCACTCTATCCTCCAAACTCCTGTTGCAATCACAATTTCCCATTCTACCTTCACTTGTGCCGCAGTTAGGATTTGTAGACTCTTCGTCTCTTCATGTACCTTGACTTATTTGATGTTTAGCCCCTGGCTCTGTTTTCAAGCTTTGACTTGAATTTAGACTACTCTCATCTGCCTTTAATTCAATTAGCTTGAATCGATACCGGTTTGAGTTTAGCCTTCATTTATGCTCTTTGAATCCTAGCTCCCTTGTGTTCCCACTTCTTTGTTCTTCTAGCTCAACATCCCACCAACACCTTCAACTTTTCTGAGTGTTTTGTTCTGATGGGTGAATGCTAGTCCGTTATAAGTCAATCTTTTGCAGCCCACCCTGCCCAAATCACAAACTCATTGGTTGGCCTATATTCTCAACTTTATACTGACCACTCTTGACACACGTTCCTTTGATCAAAATATTTTCTACAGCTTTATAGAAGAAAAGTTTGATCATGTTAATGATTAACCATTGATCTATTGATATAATGCACACACACATTAATTCATGGAATTAAAGCGATCTCGTTTCTTTAGCTTCTTTGCAACTCAAGACGCTCTCTGAGGTAGGGGCATTGAAAAAGAAGAAGACAAAACTTCGCTGGGTACTGGCCTCCCTCACCCCCCCCCCCCGAAAAACAAAAAACAAAAAGTTAATACAAGAAAGTTTTGCCTCATCCCTTCTCCTAAAAAAATTATAGGGATACTTAATTAAAACCTACGCCTACTTGCTTTTATACATCCAGCATTATAATATTTTGAAAGCTCGCGGAGCAAGTTTCGTAATAAGCGCGCTATAAAATACAAATTTTTTATACTAGGCGTAGGGGTGCGCGCGCGCGTTTTTCTGGATTGCTTTTAACTTATAAATTAAACTCACGAATTTAAAGTATTTTGCTTAATCGTATCATTTACATTTAATGTTACAAAAATTATATTTATGTGCAAACATGTATTCTTCAAAAACATCTGAATAATGTATCTCTGCTTACATCTCACACCCATTCGTCATCACCTCAAATTTTATACGTGGGCTATTGTACACGTACATGTACGGTTTAAATCTGATTTAATCAGGCATGATTAAATCATCACAGCATCCAAGAATGTTGTCTACGTCAAATTAATGTTGAAATTGTACATCCATTATGCGTACGATGGGAGTAGGTTAAGTAGACTGTGCGGGCATGATGTTGAAATATCGTTACAGTGTTAGTTGATGGATAATATTAATGGAGGAGGAATTGTTTGAACTCTTAGGTGTCTCTTTCATGTCCACAGTTGTTGTGGCATGTAGTAACAAGAACCCCTTTGGATGCTTTAGAGCACATTGTCAGCGGGAGAGAAGCTGCCAGCCCTTCAATTTGCGTGTTTCCATAATTAGCCAACGTTTTCCCTTGAGAAGCAATGCAGTACATCATTAAATTTGATATCTCACACACACACACACTCATTATTTAATTTCTCTTTTAAGGCACCGTGAGCATGCCTCGTTAATTAGCAACATAATTTAATAATTTAAATTACTAATCACTTATTTAAGTGATAAGAGATCATGTTACTTAATTCATTGGGACTTGATCATGGAAAATTATGTTATTCTTAAACATGCTCTTTTTTTTTTTTTCAAAACCTGACCCCAATTGTCCTGGTTCTCAAGGCTGTACTTTAAAACCCTTTTGTTTTGTTTTATAAAATATAGCTTAAGCCTAAAATATTCAAAAAAAAAAGTATAAATAAAAAAAAGATCATATAAATATTCTAAATTATGTGCGAAAATATCATTAAATGTCTAATTATCATCACCATCTATAAACACAATATTTCAACTCAAGCGTTGTCGATTAGTCTTCAATAATTCAACACTGTAATAGTCTCAGCTTGACTAATTGAGTTTGAAGCACAGTAAGGAATATTTTTCTTACATGGTAAAAGCATAAAACTTTTTAAAAAATTAAGACAGAATGTTCGAGCTAATCCGAGCCCTGGTTTTTTTTTTTTTAAAGGCCTCTTAAGTCTGAGCTTGAAATTCCCCTTACTCTTTTTTTTTTTTTTGGTAATCTCTCAAGTCAACCCTCGAGAAAAGCGGCCTGCCTCCCAGATCGATTCAATTGATATATATAAAAGCTTCTTTTTTTTTTCCCCCTTCACCTTCTTATACTAACAACTAATAAATTTTAAAAAAAGTAGTTGCGATGGTCACCCATGGCTTCAGTGTCGATGTGAATGACCACAACGGAGAAGTGAGGGTTTTTATTTTAAAAGAGGAACAAGATTTTAATAAACTTACTTTAATTTTAATTTAATTAATTGATTTGAGGGGGTTTGTCACGGGGACTGAAATTACATTCTCCTGAAATGGGTTGGTAAGGGAAGCAATGATGGCAAAGGCAGACCAAACAAACAACTGTTTTAATTTAATTTTATATAAGGAGAGGACTAGAGGGGTGATGATGATGGGGAAATGGCGGGGCCCACGTATGACAGAAAAGTGTGGAAGGAGACGTCCCGGGGGGGTCCCACAGGCCATAGCTTTATATCCAATCAGCGAATGTCAGGAAAATTGAAAATTCAACCCCTTTTATATTCCAACACCCCCGTCCCATCCCCCTCTCACTCATTTCCGCTACGGGGAATCCATTCATTGCGTATCTGAAACCTCGTTCTAGGCTGAGGTCATTGGATTGACTAACCTGACAACCTAATCGCTTTCACGGCAGTGTAATTCGGGTAATGTTTCTTCTAATTTCAACAGCCTCGTTCAACAAGGTATGTAACCGTTTGACAACGTAGAGGAGTGCCGATTGCTGAAGGTAGAGGAGGACGAAGACCACATCCAGAGGGCATTAAAAACATAGTTTTCTCCGATCCAATCCCCACTCCTTCACAGTGAAGAGGTAGGTATAATTGCATGTGGCACTCCACTTGTCACCCACCCCTCCTCCATCCAGCTTTTCTCCATTCTATTTCACCTGATGATGTCACTCACCCCTCGTTGCTCTTTAACCGCACCCAATTTAATACCTTCAATTACGTTAAATTTGATTATTGTCATCCCTCGTCCCATACACTCTCTACATTAAAAAATATAAATTATTTTTTAAAAAATTAAATATTTATTATTTTTAAATCTTTTAAAGTATAATTATTATTTTTTGTAAAAGTGCCTATGTTGATAATGACTTTAGATTTATTATACAATATTTAATAGAGATAAATATAAAAATAAATAAAATTAGTTGAAAAGTAAGCAATTATTTTATTGAAGGGTGATATTCGGTTAAAAATATTTTATATTCTTGAACAGAGGAAATAACTGTTTTAATATACTTTCTCTAGCCTTGTTTATAGTATTTGGAGAAAATTTTTTATCTCTATTTCTAAAATACTTCCTTTATTTTCATTTGTAGGAGAAAAAAAATTGTATCACATAATTTAAAAAAATTGATTAACTATATTAATTGTATTTACAAATAAAAGAATTGGACTACAATACCATTTAGCAATTGTGTTAATAAAGCTTTCATTAATTATTTTTTATGACTGTGAATGATAAAATTATGAGGGATAATTTAAAAAATTTATAATAAATATTTATTAAAAAATGTGACTTTACTTTTATAAAAAAATTAGAAAAGGTGGTTTATTCTATAAATAAAAATGGAGGGAGTGCTTTATTAAATTTTTATCATAAATTTTTTAATTTACTCTTTACTAAATGTTGAAAAGAAAAAATACATTGTTAAAACATTTATATTACTAACGGCAAAGTTAAATAATTATTAAATTTTTAAATAAAGTTAATAAATTTTAAAATTTTTTATGGTTTTGATGAAAAATATTGGAAGTGACTTGTGAATAAAATTAAAACAGCACTTGCTCCATGATATAATACAGGACAGTTTCTAAGACTTTTGCTTGATTCAAAATATAAGACATTGTATAGGTTATACACACACACCCTTATTTTATAGTAACTCACTTGAACAATTGATGCTAATATTTTTAATAAATCAAATGTTATACTTATTCTATTCAAGGGTAGAGGTTTGAAAAGATGTAAAAACATTTAAAAAGTCAACATTTTAATCAATTCTTTTAAAAAATATAAGATTAATTGACATCGATTTATATTATCGTTGGACGAAGTAATTTTAGTTATCTTTTTCATACACGGTCTGGTGATAAAATTAACTAACGTGGTTTACTTTGTTGGCAGTGTTTATATCAGGTTTCAGGAGTTGAGGTTGACCATGGGGATGGTGTGGTGGAGTTGACATGATAATAATAGGTGATATACAAAGCGTCATGATAGTGCTTCTAGTTGTCACATAAAGAGGCCTCAATTGTTTCTGCCTGGCTGGTTGCCTCACTGATCTCCTCAATGCTAACTTTTCTACCGCATTCATTGGTTCAAATCTTCATCACTGTAAAGTTGTTCATCCCCGTTTTCACCACTTGGCCACCGTCTCCTTTCTTTTTAACCTTGCATGCAATATTTTCATTTAACTTTTTCTTAATTTCTTATCTATTTTAACATAAATGCAGAGGTGGCTTCGTCGCATCAATTCCCTCCCAGCACGCATTGCTGCCGGGAAAAACGATATTTCCGATTGAATCAAATATTCTTCTATTTCTCACGCTAGTATTATTTTGGAAAAATTAACCTGCAAATTTTTATATTTTTTTTTCAATTTTAAATTAAGTTCTCATAATTTATTTTATTTCAATCAAGCCCTTATAATTTGATTTATTAAATATTTTAATATTTAAAATTTAAAATTAATAATGAATTATTAAATTTCCCAAACAAAAATAGCTCTGGAGTTTTTAAAAAATTTAATTTAATAGTTTCCTCCAAAATAAAAAAAATTTTGTTTTGTACATTGTTTACAATTTTATTATTTTTTATAAAAAATATATAAGTTGAAAGACAAACTAATTATACAATTTTTGAGTTATAAAATTTATGCAATCAATTCTAAAGTTATATAATTATTTAAAAAATATAAAAGTTCTCATTTTTGTTTCATAAAGGAAAAATTTAAATATTTTATCTTTAGATGTTAAAAAATTTAATTGATCGAATTATAGGAATTCAATTAAAAAAAATAAGTTGTAGGGACCTCATTTGAAATTTAAAAAAAAAATATAAGAACTTGTAGGTATATATAATTTTTATTGTTTTTAACATTATATTTATGGGTAAAATATTATTATAGTACATATCACAATTCATATTTCCGTCCTAAGCATATTATAGTATAATTTTTTTTATTACCCATAGAAATCCAATACTATTTAAGATATTATCAAACATTAAATATGAGCATATTTTATAGCAGGGCTCGAACCTCTCCTAGCACGAGGCTTTGTTTTATTGTTAAATATTTTTTTAATTTTTTTTATAAGTCATTTTTGTCTATTTTATTAATATCAATATTAAAAAAGTATAAGGAATAAAAGTGTATATAATTACAAATAATACAAATCCAAAAAATAATGTTAGATTATTTTTTCTCTCTCATGAAGGGCAATATCAAAAATATTTTTTAAATATTATTTAAAAATTTATATTATAATTTATAAATAAAATTAAATAAATTTTTTAAAATATAACCTATAAATAAGATTAAAGGGAGTAACTTTTTCGTTGAATTCTCGACATCCAGTTATAATTATGAGAAGAATCAAGCTTCAAGGGTGATGGGCCGAAGGCCCAACGAGGCAAAACAACATGGACCTATAAGGTGAATAGGTTAAAAATCAAGCCATTTTCTCAAAGGCCGATGCCCGATGACTGATTAACCGACTTATTTATAATAAATATTCGCTAATAATTTGGTTAAGGGTGCAACTTGGCTGTTGCTGCTAAGCTAACCAAATATTTAGCTTTCCTTTTGAATCTCAATTTCAACACCCAACCACGAGAAGAACGCATATTGCCAGAAAATTCAACATATTATTAGATAGGATGCGTAAGAACATTCTAGTCGATGAAGAAAACACAGATACTTTTATTCTAATTCATGAAGCATCCACTGGCTTCTCTTGTAACACACACACACACGAAACCAGAAAAAAATAGGCTCAGAAAGATACACGAACATCGAGCAGTGCCATGAGCTGAGAAATGAGCTCAGGGTGGCCGTACCACGACGCTCCGGTGACCAAATTACCATCGGTGAAGCAACGGTGAATGGGATCAGGTTCCATCCATGTTCCTTCCGCCAGAACCACGTTCAGCTTCACAGTCGGGTGAGCCGTGCATTTCCTTTCCTGTCCCAAACACAGACACAAACATCAATATAAAACATGATACGCCACACATACTCTCCAGATTAATGTAATATAATCACCTTGAGAACATTAGCAGCCGCTAAAACCTTTTGTCCCTGGGAGATGGAAGCTACAGGCTTATTGTTCTGCATGAAATGGTTGACCAGGGCGAGAACAGAGTGATTCAAAGCCAAATAAGCAGGGGCTTTGCCTCCTGGAATGACAAGAGCATCATAGGACGAAACATTCACGTCATCGAAGTTAGCACTTAACACGAAGTCATATCCTGCCTTGTCGCTGAAAGTGTGGCCGCCTTCGGCCTCGCGACATTCGGTTCCGCAGGTCTCGCCGGCTTTCTTTGTCGGGCAAACCGCATCCACGTGGCATCCCAATGCCTCAAAAGACTGAAACGGAACCGTCACTTCATAATCTTCCATGTAATCCTACAATTTGAAGATGTTAAGAGACTTTATCCACACAGTTTTAATTTAAATAATGACAAGAGTGATGAAAGTGATAGAAATTGAACTTACTCCACAAAGAAACAAGATCTTCTTGTGGGGCCCGCTGATGCTGCCTCCTAAAGCTTTCACAAAAAGGCGTATGAATGCGGAATGTCCTTTGAATGTAACGGCCGATATGATGTTGCCATCGGCCACGGCTATAGTGGAGCCAATGCTTTCTGGTTCAACCCAATGTGCACCGGCGGCGACGAGGACCGGTCCGATTGCGGGAAATCCAGTGATCTTGCGACCTTTCACTGCCCCGGCGGCCGCCAGGACCAACGGTGCATGACAGATCGCAGCGATTGGTTTTCCTGAATCGGCAAATTCTGAAACCAGCTCCACAACGCTTGGAATAAGAGCGAGATGTTCCGGTGATCTCCCGCCGGGTATTACTAATCCGTGGTAGTTTGTTGCTTTGATTTCGTCGAACGTTGCATTGAGTGTGAAATCGTGACCACGCGTCTCTGGACAAATCCGAATCTAGATTCAACATCACGGAAACAAAAGCTGAGTTGATGCTAAGAAACTAATCATGCTCGTAAATATTTGGGATTGGATGAAGTAATAATTAGAAAGACTATGGAACTGATGTCATGGAAAAGTCAAAGAGACCTGATGAATGGAGGTGGGGCAGATGTCGCCGGCTTTCTTTCCGGGGCAAACGGCGTCAACGGAGACGCCGAAAGCTTGCAAAGCTTGGAATGGAACCATCACCTACAAACCAAATCATCCAAATACGAAATGAAATGGAAATTAATAATAATGGAACATTACAACGGCACAGAAATGGAAGCGTATATAACCTCGGCATCTTCGACATAGTCATAGCACAGGAACAGAACCCTTTTCGGAGCCATGTCTGGTGCCTGGAGACCTGATGCAGAAGAAGAACGCCGCTTGATTTTAAGGAGGATTCCAACGTTTGAGGTAGGTGGCTACTTGGTATTGGGACGAAGCTCGATCGGTCAATATTCAAGGCTGGGAAATCGTCAAGCGGGGTTGTTTAATTAAATGTCAGTTTATGCTTATCTTTTAGAGATTTTTTAATTTTTACAGCCAGGCTCAGCGAATGGGCTTGCATTGTTCAGTGAACTAAATTTAAAAACAAATATTATGTTCTTTTGACTTTCGATTATTTTCGATCATTTTGACAAAAGTTTATGGAGAAGCTAATTTCTGGGACATGTCATCTAGTCCTTGAGCACACTTTCATCACGAAGCATAAGCAGCAGCATGAAGGAGCGGGGCACTAATTATTTCTTCTTTTTAATGTTCTTTTTTTTTATGGGTGAAATTTTTAGTGTTCTTTTTTATACTCAAGATCCGGTATTTCTGTATTTTTATATAATATGGCTTTGGTCGGAAGATAAATTTATTAAATTATTGTTGCCCTACTATGGGAATGGATTCAGTGAAATTGATCGTTAAAATTTTTTTAAAAGAGAGAAAATATTTTATATTTTATAAAAAAGAGAAATGTAGAGAGGGGGGAGAGAAAATTTTAAAAAATTCATTGTGCCCTCCACTCAATGCTAACTTTCTACTGCATTCGCTGATTGAAATTTTTTGCAACTGTGAAGTGGTTCGGGGACAATTTTACAGCTCGACCCTGGTTCTTTTCTTTTTAGCTTTGCATTGAAGATTGTCATTTCACTTTCTCTTGAGTTCGTTTTTATAAAAAACACAGACATGTTAAGATTTAAGATTTGGTTCGTTACTTCTTTCCTGACAGAGGTTCATTTTTGCGAACGAAAACGATATTCTCAATTGAGTCAATTGTTATACGATTTCACACCCTATTCTTTTTGTTAACATTAATTTTCTTTGACACAACATTATTGTGTCACAGATTCACGATGCATATTTTTGTTCTAAATAACTAGCACAGTATTATATTATTTTTATTTCTTTGCGTCACATGTGTGTGTATTCAAAATTATGATTACATATGATGTATTATACGTTTACTACATGAGGTTTTGTGTTGTTGATAAATAATCTCCTTTTAGTTATTCTGGGATCCAATAGGATTGGGAATATACCATACCCTTTATAAGGGTCTGATCTACTTACTAAATAGATTTAACTGGTTTAACCTATTAGTGTAACAAGTCAGCCTCTATATATATATATATATATATACTCTCACCATTTTTATTTGTAAGATAAACTATTACTTTTTATTTAATTTGTTATATAAACAAAATTACATATTTTAATAAGTATTTATTACATATTTTCTAAATCATCTTTCATAATTTACATTAATAAAAAATAATTAATGTATATTTATGTTGATTAATATAGGACAGTTTAATTAATTTTTTTATTTTTAAATATAACTATTATATTTAACTAACTTTTTAAACTGTGGCTAATAACACTCATGCAGTCCTATTTACAAGACAGGGAGATAATATTTATTTTGTTATGATTCCATTTCTTTATTGTGGCTAATAACACTTGTACAGTCCTATTCACAAGACAGGTAGATAATATTTATTTTGTTCATATTTATATGGAATCTCAACTTTTATTGTATTCATTAACATACCATTTTGCCTCATTAATTAAATGCTAAAAATATTATTAAATATTAGAATACTTTTTAAGTATATATATTTAATAAAGGTAAAGTTGATTTTTTTAAATTTTTAAACATGGCTAATAAGGTTTAGAATATTGCTTAATTCCGGTGAGAATGCGATAAGCGAATTATAAAATGGAATCCTTTGAATAGCTAATACGTTTCGAGATAAGAAGATAATATTTTTACGTGGAATGAGAAAATTTTATAAATGATCGATACACTGTAATTAATTTTTGAAGAAAATTCAACGAAATGAATGGAAGGGCAATTTTAAAATTAGGTTATTAGCTTACATTACTCCAAGTGAATTTTAAAAAGAATCATGCACTTTTAAATAATGCGATTTCTATAAATTTTATATTATACATAGTTGAGATTGCATAAATGTTAATATATAACATCATTAGATGCTCTTTTTTCAAATAATAAAGACCGAAATGAAGTGCTTAATTACTTATACTTCCAGCTATCAGCAAAGGTCAGGAAATATCTGAATAATAAAAGATCAGAAAAATTACATTTTGGTTCCATAGAAAAAAGTTTATTATTAAGAAGTCTCATAAATTTTACAAAATATTCTCAAATCTCAAATTTTATACATTAATAAATTGACTAAAGGCATTGACAATTGAGCAACGGTCATTTACAAATTGTAAACGGCCATTGTTCAATTGTCAATACTTTTAATCAAATTGTTAATGTACAAAATTTTGGATTTAGGAGTATTTTATAAAATTTATGGGACCTTTTAAAAATAAACTTTTTTTATAAAACTTGAATGTAATTTTTCCTAAAAAATATAGGGTAAACCCGTCCCGTGATTTTTTATATTACATGAAATTTGAGATGAAGTTGTTGTAATTATGATTCCATATTTTAAAATTATTTTGTTAACGTTATTTTTCTTTGATACAATATTATTGTGTAACAGATTTACGATGCATATTTTTGTTCTAAATAACTAGCACTGTATTATATATTTTTTATTTCTCCATGTCACATGTGTGTGTATTCAAAATTATGATTGCATATATGAAAACTAAACGATGTACTATATGTTTACTACCCGAGGTTTTGCGTTATTGATAAACAATCTTCCTTTAGTTATTCTGGGAATCCACTTATAATTATGAGTACTCTATGACTTCAAGGGTGATGGGCTAATGGCCCAACAAAATAAACAAAACAAAAGATCAACTTGCAAGTTAAATGTATGTGTGCGCGTGTGTGCGTGTGTGCGTGTGTAACACTTGCAAGTTGAATCCGGCGATCCAGCGATTTTCTAAAATGATGATGACCGTTGAACTATCAAAAAATTGGATTTTTTATTGTATTGACAAAAAAGGGGGGGGGGGTGATGACCTTTGAACTATCAACCAACTTATTAATAAATGCTACTCCATTATCACATATGAGAAAACCTATCTTAGATTCCTTTATTTTTTATTACAAGCAAAATTACAAATTTAAAAAAGCATTGATTAATTATATATTTTTTTAAAATTGTCATTCTAGATATCATTAAATTAGAGGGAAAAAGTAAACATTAGTTACAAAGACATAAAATCCAAATGTTTTAATTTCAAATATTTTCATTATTATTAATTATTAACTATTAACTAATTAACTTAAACTGTGTGAATTCGTTGAGATCTTCATATATTAAATAATGGATGGAGTATTTGCTTATAACTAGATGGTCCATCTTGTTTAGATACAAGTTAGATGGCTTAATTAAAGAAAAGTTTAAATAAGTTATTTGTAATCAAAAAGTATTTGATAAATTTAAAGGGAAGCTTTATTGAATTGATATAAGATCAGTTATGTTTACATGATAGTGAATGTTAAGTTTTAAAGAGACAACAATAATATAAAGTTGAAATATTAGATATGAGAATGTTGAAATGAATGTAGAACATATAAAATAAAATAAAATAAAATAAAAAATAAACATATATGAGAAAAAGCGAATGTAGCACCTATGCAATAAAAATGGTAAAAAAAAATTGAGTAATTTTGAGAATGGTAAATAAAGTTGGAATTGTTTCAACACATATAGAGAAGGCTGTGAGAGATACCGATGAGAAAAATGAAACATATAATTTTGAGTCCAATAAAAAGAAATAGAGGAAGACCAAGGAGAATAATAATATAAATGTTGAATGAGATCTTTTAATTAATAATATTTTTAAAAGTTTAATTGATGATAGAGCATAATAACATTGAATAATTTATGCAGCCGACCCTATTTAATAGGATAAGATTTGTTGTTATTGTTGCATGTAAATTGTCTGTCCGTGAGAAGTGCCACCGGATAATATAATAGAATTTTAATGTGTCATGATTTATTCCATTGTTTAATTGTTGGGCTGTAGTATTCGTCTGTATTAAAAAAGTAAGAAGAAAAAATTCAACACCCATCCAAGAAAACAAATTTGCAGAAAATTCCTCGTATTAATTATTAATGGATAGGATATGGGAGAATATCCTAGGCGAAGAAGAAACAGAGCATCCGAAAAGGAAAATCATACTTCTATTGTAATTCATGCAGCATCCACTGGTCTCTCTTATAACACACAAGAAACAAGCTTCGTTCCAAAGAGAGGAAATCGCTCAGAAAGTTACGCGAACATCAACCGGTGCCATGAGCTCAGGGTGGCGGACTCACGAAGCTCCGGTGACCAAATTCCGGTCGGTGAAGCAACGATTACTAGGGCCAGGCTTAACCCATGCTCCTCCCTACAGAACCGCACTCAGCTTCTTCGTCGGGTGAGCCATGAGTTCCTTCCTTGCGTCAAACAGTTCATAATTAACCAGCAAAACACAAAAGTTTTAAAACACCTGACTAACACAGACACAAACATAGTTATGTAGACATAAAACATGGTAATGTAATATTACGTTGGGAACTTTTGCAGCGGCTAAAATCTTATGTCCTTGGGAGATAGAAGCGACAGGCTTCTTGTTTTGCATGAAATGGCGGGCCAAGGCAAGAACAGAGTGTTCCAAAAAAAAAAATGCAGGGAGTTAACCTCCCGGGATGACAAGGGCGTCATAGGACGAAACATTCACGTCATCAAAGCTCGAATTTAACACGAAGTCATATCCTGTCTTCTCCGTGAAAGTATGGCCGCCTTCGGCGTCGCCAAACGTGGTCGCGCAAGTCTCGCTGGCTTTCTTTTTAATCTTCCATGCAGGGGCCGAACCACCCTCGAGAGGGGCAATTTTTGTAAAACAAGATATACTGTTTCCATTAAAAAAAATATAAGACATGTTTAATTAGATCATACTTTTAAATAAATTAATGCCATCTTTTAATGTTTGTTCTTATTTAATGTGATGTCTCTTTTTAAAGGAAAATAGTTGAGTGGTTTATTTATTAAAGATA